TCCCCCCCTCCCTATAATCATTTATGTATTTTTTACATCATTGTTCATTTTGTGCAATGTTTCCTTTCTTCTCAGGAATAGAACTCCCGTCAGCAATTCACCATCACCATACTCTTCCTTCCCTCTCCCTCACCCTCTTCTGCAGAATGTCTCTGATTTATAGTTGCCTGTTAATTTTGATATTTTGTTGTTGATACTATTTTTTTCCCTTCATCCAGATATAATTCCTGAAAGTTACTTGACTCTGTCTCATTTGTCAGGGCCCTGGCAGTTTCAGTAGAGCCATGTTTTCCAAGTGTTGCTTTGAAGTCTTGACCAGCAGCTGCAGAGCAAGTCCTTGGGATGTGAGCGGTCTCCCCATCCTGTCGTCCTCACATGTCACCCTGGGAGAGTGGGTTGAGAGAGCCCAGCAGCTCCAGGACATCAGCTCAGTGCTCTGGACTAACATGACTGTTTCTTCAGTAGCAGAGTTCAGGTATTTCCTTCCTTCCTTTGGGGTGGCTGGTTCTGGTGGGTGAAAGCAAGGTTGGATCAGTAGGTTTTCAGCTCAATAGTCTTTACTAAGAGCTGGCCAGTTCCTTGTCAGTTTTCAACATATTATAATCAAGAGAATGGTAGCTAGAATACCATATAAATTTACAGGAGAATAAAAGTTCACTTTCAGATATTGGTAGAATAGGTCTGCCTTTTAATTTTCTGAAAAAGTTCTGTTTGCTGTGCTGTGTACAAGCCTTGTGTATTTCATCATCCCTACAGACGCACTGATTCCCAGCTCCAGGGGCTCTTGCTGTGCCGACACCTGGTGGGCTTAGCAGAGCTGCTTCCTGAGCCCCAGCAGCAGGAGTATATGGAGAACTGTGAGCAGCTGCTACTTGGGGACAGTCATGCCTTCCAGAACGTGGGCCAGACTCTTGGGGATATGGCTGGGCAGGAGGCACTTCCCAAAGAACTGTTGTGCCTGTTGCTTACCTCCCTACGCCATTTATTTGGGGAAGGAGAGAGTAAACAGGACCTGCCTGAGTCAGCCCGGCGTGGGAGCCTTTGGGTGAGCCTTGGCTTGCTCCAGATTCAGACATGGCTTCCCCAGGCACGCTTTGACCCTGCAGTGAAGAGGGAATATAAGCTCAAGTACGCCAAGGAAGAGGTATGTGTTTGGAGGCAAGTGTTTGGAGTGTGGGTTCCATCTTTGGCTGGCAGGTTCTGCTGGGTATACTACTCTTACTAACCCCTTTGGATGTTCAGAGCATCGAAAGGGTGTTTTTCTACTTTATCCTTGTGAGAGTTTCTCAGAGGAGTCTTTGGAACTAGGAGGGTCCTTCTCTAGGTCTCTGTTCTGTCTGCCAGTAGACTGCAGTGGGCAGAAGACCTGACAGTGGTACACCTGTGATGTTGCCAAAGAAAAGTGGTGTTTTCACTTGCCTAGACTCCTACTTGAACTAGGTTTTGGATATTTGGGTTTAAATAACTTCTCTGGATAGGGTATATAGCATTCCTTCAATTTTAAACTATTAGTGTTTGTTATCTAAACTCAAGAATCACACATATTGTGATAAATATGGTATTCCTTCTGTTTGAACTCCTAGCAAATGAAGAAACTGAATACACTGAGATAACAATATACTAGCACTGAATTTCAAAGAAGGAAAATTGTTATTTGTGGTGACAGTTACGCTGCTTTGGCAAAATCTCTAAAGCTTAGTGACATAGTTTTCTCTCATCTAATACCTTTCATGTGAATGGTCATGGGCAGTGGATCAGATTCCCCTACTCAGGGCCATTCAGGAACCCAGGTTCCTCCTGTCCAGTTAGTTGCCTCCTGTCCAGTTGCCTTACTCTTCTCAGGCATGGTCCTGGCTGAGCATGGCAGGCCATTTTTTCTCCTTTCTGTCAGCTACATCAGCTGCAGTGTGAGTGGAAGACCAGAAACCTCTCATCCCAGCTACAGACTGGAAGAGACCTGGAAGATGAAGTTGTTATCAGTTACTCTCATCCTCACGTCAGGTATCTACAGGGGTTGGTTATTCATATGGGGAGCTATTGACCCTCGTTTTAAAAAAGACATTTTAAGGGTGATCTTTGCAATGTAATTAGCTTTAGCAGAGGTAATGATCTATTTCTCTGATACCAATTGGATACCAAAGGCATGGTTACAATCAGGTGAAAGGAGGGAGGGGATTTCCATGGCACCAATAAAGTTGAAACCAGAACTTATTCTCAGCATGGAAGGAATTAAGCATGATGATACCCCTGTATAGGTGCATGACTTTAGGAAATGCCATGTAGTGTGGTGGATTCTGATTTCCAGTCATGTCCCATACCTTTGCATTAGACTTGAGGTAGAGGCCTTAATGCTTCTCAGCTTGGTGTTTATGTCTGTAAAAGGAGGCTAGAGTGCCTATTTCAGAGTTGTGATGAGACTTTTTATGAGACATGCATTTAAAGTGTTTAATGGCATGTGTTGCATGTGGTAATCACTCTTAAGTTACCTGTTTTCATTGTAATTTTCAGTAGAATCAGCAGATTATTCCTCAGTAGCTAAAATGTCTTCATTTGATCTTCCCTAGAACTTAGTGTAGATTTACTGCTCTTTTGATAGAATTTGCTTATGTGTTAATTTGCCTTTAGGTTACTTAGCCAGAGAATTGACCAGCTAGAGAATTTTATCAATAACTTGGAAAAGAAGCAGGCCTTCAGACCCCAGCTTCCTACATTCGAGTCCCTGGTACAGGAGATCCACCACTACATAACCAGCATTGCCAATACCCCTGCTGTTCAAGATCTGCTCACACGGCTCCTGCAGGCCCTCCATGTCGATGGGGCTCGGTCCGCCCAGGTGGCCCAGAACCTTCTGAAAGAAGAGGCCTCCTGGCAGCAGTCACACCACCAATTCAGGAAGCGACTGACAGAGGAGTATGCCTTGTATCCAGACTCTGTGGCCCCACTGCAGGCATCCATCTTGCAGTTGCAGCATGGCATGCGGCTGGTTGCCTGTGAGGTCCATGCCTCACTGCACAGTAGCATGGTCTGTGCGCACGGGCTGGGTACTCTGGCCACATCTTTATTGGCTTTCCCATCTGTGGGCCCCAACTTCCCCACGTACTATGCTCATGCGGACATTTTATGTTCAGTGAAGTCAGAGGAGGTTGTGCGAGGCCTTGGGAAGTTGATCCTTAAGCGTTCAGGAGGAAAGGAGCTAGAAGGAAAGGGCCAGAGACCCTGCCCTACCAGAGAGCAGCTGCTGATGAATGCCCTTCTTTATCTGCGCTCCCACGTGCTGTGCAAGGGAGAGATGGACCAGAAGGCCCTGCACCTCTTCAGACATGTGTGCCAGGTAAACCCTTCTCTGGGCTCCTGCAGAGCATATCAGCTGTATCAAGTAAAGATAACAGTGATAAGGGAATGGAACTCTCTTGTCCTTTTTCCCATTTGACTATCAGGTTTTGGGACTTTAGTCCCTCAATTTTTTGAGATTTAAAAAAGAAGTGATGTGGCCCTCCCTGGTGGCGCAGCGGGTTAAAGCACAGCACTGAGAATCTAAAGCCGCTTCCACATGAGTTCGATTCCCGCCTGCCCTGGAGGTGACCACATGGCGAGGCAGACCTCTCCTGACCCGCCCACTGCTCCCCTCAGCAGTGTACTTCGTCGATCTGCCTGTTCTGCTCCCCACTCTGTCTCTGGTGAAGCCTCTCACCGCCCCTGAGCCTCTGGCCTGTACCCCAGTTCTGTATGAACAAATAAATAAATCTTTAAAAAAAAAAAAAAAAAAAGAAGTGATGTTAGCCCTTTACTTGTGAGACTGCAAATAAACAGGACCTTTTTAAAAATAACAGTCTTAGCACAGTGACTCGGTTTTTAACACATAGGAGGCACTCTGGATGAAGGTTATAACTGTGTGTCCTCCATACAAAGCATTAACAAAGTGCATTTTGTTTTAAAATTTGCTTTTTAAAGCCTAATAGCATTTAATGATTGCTTTCACCATAATTTAGATATTCCTCACCTGCATCATACTTAGTCTCTGCCCAATTTTTAAAATTGTATGCATATGCCATCAGACATTAAATTTTTATCATTGAACACATATTTATTGTAATCTTTTTGCTATTTTGGGGGGGGAACCCCATCACCACCATAAGTAGTTTCATAGCTAAATCTTAATCTTTGGGTACAAATCTAGAAAGGAGAATTGCTGAAATAAAGATTAACTGCTTAAGCTTTTAGCACAAATTACCTTCCTGATGTGTTTGTTCATTTCCTCAATCCTCATCAATACTAGGTGGTGGTTTCTTTCACTTTGAACTTTTAGCAATTTAAAGACCTAACATCTAAGGAGAGTATAGGCATTTAAAAGTTGTCTAGTAAGGCCAGTTTTAATGCTTGGTGCCCTTCAGCTAGCCTGTCCCTAGCCCATGTTTTCCTTTTTGTACTCTTGTGTGAGCTCCTTGAAGTGCCAGCCAGTAGAAATTTGAGTCATAGGCTTAACATGGCGGACCATGAGCTGTGCATCATCAATTATGCCTGCCATGAATTTCCCCATAGCACTACTATAGCAAGCCTTTACACCTGTGAAATTGTTAATACTGAAATATGAGGGAATTTAGTAAAATATAAACAAGTTGAAAATCAAACCATTTGCTCTGTTAACAAGAATTGGTATTTGCTTTTGAACCATATACTTAGGTTCTAAGAGAAATTAAGAGATAATAATAAGCCTTGCCTTTGTTCTTATTTGCAAAGGCAAATAAGCTTTCTTCTGAATGTGTGGCTTTTCAGGAAATCATCAATGAATGGGATGAACAGGAACGCATAGCCCAAGAAAGGGCTGAGCAGGAAAGCAGCCTGTACAGATACAGAAGCAGAAACTCCAAGACAGCCCTGAGTGAGGAGGAAGAAGAAGAACAAGAATTCAGAAAGCAGTTCCCATTGCATGAAAAGGTTAGTGGTGGTGGCAGGGCTTGTTTTACAATGAATTTCCTTGATTCTACACATTATCCTTGATTGGTATTATGTTTTTAATATATCTTTATCATTCACACTCTATTTTCACCCTTCCTTTCAGTTTAATTAGAACTAGATTTTTATTTTTAAAGGTCCAGTTGCTTTATGGTTTTGTTTTTTTAAACAGGACTTTGCAGATATTTTGATAGAACCAACACTGGAGGAGAAAAAGGCAACTTCAGATGGGCAAGAAGAAGAAGCAACCACAGACCCTGCCCTCTTCTCCCAGAGTTCAATGCAGGCAGTGATGCTGACTCACCAGCAGTTGTGCCTCAGCTTCGCTAGGTCCCTCTGGTACCAACAGACTCTGCCACCACATGAGGCAAAGCATTACCTCAGCTTGTTCCTGTCCTGCTATCAGACTGGGGCATCTCTAGTGGCACACTTCTACCCCCTAATGGGTATGACGGTTTACTTCTGTTGTGCTTTTAGGAAATCATATGAATGTTATTTCTATTTCTGGAACCGTGTTTCTGGGAGTAATCTGAGTTCTTAGAAGTTAATCTCAAAGAATATGGTTTGATGTAGTTTCCTACATGATTAAGTTACTCCATGCAAATAGAATGGAGATGTCATATTTCATTTCTCTCTATCATGAATAGCTACAGGGCCTCCATGGTAGCCTAAGGGTTAAGTCTCAGTGCTCTCATTGCTATGACCTGTGTGTGATCCCAAGCCAGGGAACTAACCCGCATGTAGAGCCGCAGACCTCTCCTATCTCCCCACTGCTCCCCTCAGCAGTGTATTTCAGTAGATCCACCTGTTCTGCTCCCCACTCTGTCTTTGATGAATTCTTCCACCACCCCACACCTCTGGCCTACTCCGCAGTTCTTCTGTGCAAAAATAAATTACAAAAAAAAACCCAAAGCACCACAATAAAAGCTGGGCATTTTAGTTTATCAAATCAAATGGCAACCTCTTAATTATATATAGTAGTAGTATCTTGGTTCCTCTGTATATCCAGCATACGTGGCACATTTTGGTGACTGGTGTGGTATAAAGGTCACCAATGGTGTTTTAGAGGTAATTGTACTTAAATAGCTACTTGATCAATCATAGTAGTTCATTATTTCTGAGAGCATGTTTTTTGACATCTTTGTAACTTAATAGATTTTACTTACCAAGTTCACTGATTTTACTGTGATCTTGTTTACTTCACAGGAGTTGAGCTGAATGGCCAACTTTTGGGCAGCCAAATTTTGGCCTGTACTCTTTCCCATAACACTCTCTTTGGGGAGGCGACCTCAGATCTGACAGTGAAACCTGATGGGCCCTATGACTTCTACCAGCACCCCAATGTCCCAGAAGCACGGTACTGTCAACCAGTCCTTCACAATTTCGCAGAGGCTGTCAATCAGCTATTGCAAGACTGGCCAGAACATCCAGCACTAGAACAGGTATGGTAGCCCAAAGGAGCAGCACAGAAGGTGTGGCCTCCCATCATCCCTGAGGGTTTTTCACTCATGCATCTAAACATACAAAATAAAGGCTTACAGAATTTCAGTTCAGTGAAACACTACCCACTTACTGCAAGATGAGTATATAAGTTTATATTGCTATTGTATAAATGATGTTTAGGGATTCCATTAATTTTGTTTGTTGGCCAGGGCTTACTACCCACATAATAAAATGTTGCTATTTTGCTCTGACTTTTCAGACACATAAAGTCCTGGCTTTTTCAGGAATAGAAGTTTTAAATCTGATATTGCGCTGTGGTCTTCAGTCGTTTTTTCTTTTCTTTTTTTTTAAGATTTATTTATACATAAATAAATAAATATACATTTATTTGTTTTATACATACAGCACTGTGGTACAGGCCAGAGGCAAGAGGATTCAGGGGTGAGATGATTCACTAGAGATAGAATAGAGAACAGAATAGGCAGATTGACTGAAGTACACTGCTGAGGGGAGCAGCAGGCAGGTAAGGAGAGGTCTGCAGCGCCATGTGAGTCACCTCCCTGGCTGGGGATCAAACTCATGCTGAAGTGGTTGTGTCAGCTTATTAGTGCT